AGGCCAGCAGTTTGAGATCAGCTTGAGCAACAGCAAGACCTCGTCTCCACAAAAAAATAGAAAAATTAGCGAGGCATGGTAGCACATGCCTATAGTCTGTACTCGGGAGGCTGAGGCAGGAGGATCGTTTGAGTCCAGGAGTTTGAGGTTGCTGTGAGCTAGGCTGGCGCCACGGCACTCACTCTAGCCAGGGCAACAGAGCCAGACTCTGTCTCAAAAAAAAAAAAAAAGAAAAAGAAAAGAAAAAGAGAATATTTCCCAAGCTTTTTAAAGCATCAAATCATGATGTGTTTCATCTCTGCCAATTTACACAAAATCAACCTATGAAATTACACTTAAAAGTCAAGGGTTGGAGTAGGGACCTTTGCAAATGAGGGTGCTCTGTGACTTAGGTGGGTCCTGTTCTCATGGTCAGAAAGAAAAATAAAAGGGGAAGACTAAGATCAGACTTGAAATATCTTATTTAAAAATAATTTTTAGGCACGGCATGGTGGCTCATGCCTGTAACCCTAGCACTCTGGGAGACTGAGGCAGGAGGATCAATTGAGCTCAGGAGCTCGAGACCAGCCTGAGCAAGAGCAAGACCCCATCTCTACTAAAAATAGAAAAATTAGCCAGTGTCATAGTGCATGCCTGTAGTCCCAGCTACTCGGGAGGCTGAGGCAGGAGGATCGCTTGAGCCCAGGAGTTTGAGGTTGCCGTGAGCTAGGCTGATTCCACGGCACTCACTCTAGCCAGGGCAACAAAGTGAGACTCTGTCTCAAAAAAAAAAAAAAAAAAAAATCACAAAAAGAATCACTGTTAAGTCAGTGTATTTTTATAGGCATATCATCTCTGTTCGAAACAGGTTTTGTTCTGAAAGTTTGTTTGCAGATGCTGGTTTACAACTTTTAATGCATGTTCATCCTCCAAAGTCAAGATTCTACGGTGTTTACATTCCTAAGCCTGAAGCATATGTAGGCCCTGCAGAGTTGAATTAAAACAAACACCGCCAAGCCCTGAGTCATCCCATTATCTGGAAGCTTCTCTGAACCCTGCCCCTGTGACCTCCAGCTGAGCAGGACCGTGGCCTTCCCCTCCCGCCCCCCGCACTGTCCTAGCCACCTGTCCTCACTAGTCTCCTGCACTTGCAGGAGCACAATCCAGGAACTGTTGCTTCAGGTCTAAAGTTCTGAGCACGGTCCGAGTTCAGTGTCAAATATGACACCAGCCACCCAGGCAATTGCCCAGAGCACCCTTAAGGGACACTAGAACCTCATCTCAAAACTAAAGTGATGGGAAAAATGATTCTCAAAGTAGCTGGAAG